TCAAACAGGAGGATGGACTTAAACTGTAAATTGCACAAAGATGCACATGTGGGAACGTAGAATGGTGGAGAACATTATTGAGGACTGTCCCCTCGATAGACTAAGTGGGGACTAATTGCCTTAAACTCAGCACATGACAGGTGATCACTTGGCTCTAGAGGGTTGCATTCACTGAGTAAACAAATAAATTGTGGCTTGTTCATAAGAGTGAAATCAATGCAGATACGCCAGTGGAAGGAATTGATAGCTTAAAGAAAGGGATGGTGAGAAGAGTATGATGGGGAGAAGCTACCATCAATTCAAATAGAAACAGGAAGGTTTCTATCATGGACAGAGGATACTTGGGCCCTCATATCTGCAAGGCCAAAGAAACGAGCCTCCTATTGTTATCCCACTTTACAGCATTTGGTCCATTTCCATGCAGGTTAAAGCTTGAGGTCCATATCCAGATGCCTCAGAAATTATTTGAGGATTGTTGACTCTGTTCCCCCTTCAGACAGTGTCTTCCAAACTCCTACACTCTTGACGAAAACACTTTTCCACAACTCCCCTCAAATCTTTGTCCCAATCACTTTAAGTTTGTACCCTCTTATCACTGACTTCTGCTAAATCGGCCCTTACCATCAACTGTACCCGAGCCCCTCCATTTTGAACATCTCAATCAAACCTCCTCTTCATATTTGTCTTCAAAGGAGAACAAGTTTAGAAAGTCCAATCTTTTCTCATTGCTGCAATTTTTCAATTGTGGTAAGATCCTTTCAGTTGTGGTAAGATCTGTGCCCTTTCTAGTAAAATTACATCCTTTCTATAATGTGGTCAGAACTGTGCACATTATTGGGGCTGTGGCCGAACTGATAAAGAACATTTTTCCACATACTTTCTTAATCATCTTGTTGACCTGCCCTGCTCCATTCAGGAATCTGTGGTCATTCACTCCAAGATCTCTCAACATCTCTGCACCTCTCAATATTCTTCCATTTATTGTTTGTTCTTTTGCCTTGTTTGACCTCACCCCATACATTGTGTCACACTTGTCCAGGTTAAATTCCATTTGTAACTTTTGTGACCAGCCGACCAGTCCATTCCATTAATACTTCTCTCTCTACATTTATCACATCCGACATTTCATAATCCTCCTCATCTACAATGTCTGCATCACTTGCTTGTTTGTTAAGACAAAGACAATATATGAAGAACCAGATCAATATCTGTCACCCTTGTGTATGGGTTACTTTCCTCATCTTTTATAGACCTTACTCTTTCCTCCATTATCCATTTAGTATATTAATAAAACATCTCTCCATTCACCTTGATTTCACTTGCCAATATTCTCTCATGCGCTCACTTTGCTTTCCAAATGTCCTTTTTGATTTCTCCTTTCCACCTTCTACACATCCCAATTTTGTACAGTATGAGTTCTCAATGTCAGACATCATTATTTATTTCAGTCAGATATTGATTAGGCATGATGGGACACACCTTTGTAGCAGGTGGAACTTGAACACCGATCATTCCAGCACTGAGGAAGGGACACAGCCACTGTGCCACAAGACCTCTTGGTATCAGACAGAAGCTGTCATTTTGACCTTACTTACTCCTTTGTAAGCTCTGTAACATCTCGGGGGCCAGGGCTCTAGATTTGGCCATCGTCTCCTATTTTCTTTGTGGTAACAAGTTCACTCTAAATCCCCTGAATGTCCCACTTCAATGAAGTGTAGTGAACTGATACTGATTTGCCTTCAAGAACCTGTTTCCAGCACACTTTTTACAAAATCATTGCTCAGTTTATTCAAATTGGCTGCTCCTCTCCCATTAACACCAACGCTGATTGATGGTTAACAACTCCGCCCACCACAGGAAAGGAATATCTGCTCCACCTGCTTTCCATGTGGTCTCAGCCATATTTGCTTCTGTTGTGCAATTGACGTATGAGCTTGCATGGATAAAGTTCCAATATCACGTTCTTGTGAGTGACTTGCAGGCTGCTTCTGTGAGAGAATATTTTACCCCCATCCTTCATGTTCCCTGTTGTATTGCTGCCCATGGGTCCCCTATGACCTTAGAATATCACACTTATTTCTTTGAGCCCCACCTTCATGTTACAGCTAACGTGCCCACTTCAGTCCCATGGGCAATGAATTTGCAAATTCTAATGTCCTTGATGGTCTTGCATGATGCAGAGCAAGTATGGGGCGAAAGGGCCGACTCCTGTCCTGTGTTCTTCTCTGAAACTGGGGTGGTGGAGGGGTGGAATCTCTCAATTGCCCTTTTTATTGTAAATTTTTTTTTAAGGATGCAAAATAAGTTAGGATGAACCCATGGTATCACTGTTTGTGATATGTTGAAGAAAACTGGTTCAACTAAATAGCAGTTGCACACACTAAGTTGTAGAAGTTTACAGCACAGGAAGGCTGTGGGAGCCAGTCCCCCTCTGAATACATGCTTCTTCTGTTGAACTTCCCCCTGGACCATCATCATTTCCCCCAGTGACCCTATGCAATGAAACCTACCCCGAAGCATGAGTTGCTTGCTTTCCCCAGGTCGCCATGAGCTGTCCCCGAGAAGCCCCCAATTGTTATTGAGCAAAACCTGAGAACTGACCGTGGCTTACCCCTTAGGTCTGACTTGGAGTGAAAGCTGTGACTGAGCTTAGCACAGCCCCAACCGATGTCTCCATTACACCCTGACTGATCTCCCTGTAACCTCTGGACTGGCTGCCCTTGACCTTTGGGATTGGTAGTGGTCCATTCTGTAGACTGCAAGGAAATGGACCTCCGGACTCTGGTGTGACCAAGCGCTTGACTCACCATTTTGCACATCCTGGATTGGATTTGGACTAGTCCCTTCACTGTCTGTAGATGAAGGGTCAAGGAGGATGATGGACATGGAGCATGAAGGGATATTATGTTGAAGGCAGAGTTGGGGGATGGATGGGACAAGCAATCAGCAAGATGCAGTCTTCAGGTTAACATGTCGGAAATTTATGCTGTCTCGTTTCCTCAGTGAAGGAGAGTAGAATTGGAAGTGTCATATAAATGAGCTGAGTTGGAGTATTAATAAGATGCAAATACTTGAAAATAAGTTCGTCACCACTCAATAGCAAGATCTTGAACGATTTAAGGCTAAAGCGAAAAATCACACAATGAGCCATTTATGCTGGAATCCTGATTCCTCTCCATTTTGTCCATCATTCTCGCCCTTGGTCAGGTCATACCAAGAAGAAATAAGTTCTGTCATATGTTTAATCTGAAAAGCAGCGCAGATCAGAAAACCTTTAGAAATCAGGAAAAAAATGATGAAACATCTTCGAGGGAGAAAGTAGGGGTATTGCAAGTCAATTAGTAAGAAATATGAAAACATAATAAAAGCTTCTACAAATGAAAACATAGCAGCTAAAGTGAGCATGAGAGGGTGAAGACTGAGAATTAAGGTTGGGAATGAAGAAAATAGTCAAAAGGCATTTAGAAGATCACAACGTAATCAGGCAGAGTCAAATCATGACTTTGTTAGTGGGAAATCTTTGACAAGGTTGTAAGATTTCTTTGATCATGTAACAAGCAGGTGGATAAAGGGGAACGAGGAGGTGTAGTATATTTGGATTTCCCAAAAGCCTTCAGTAAATTGCCCCAGAAAAGTCTACTGCACATATTAAATGCTCAAGGTGATAAGGTAATACATTAGCATGCATACACAATTGGCTAACAGAGAACAGAGAGTTTGGGATAAACAGATCATTTCAGTTTGGCACACTGTAACTAGTGAACTGCTGCAGTGATTAATGTCGGGCCCTCAAATATTTGTGGTCTGTATTCATTACTTTGATAAAGGGATCGACTGTCTTATCGCAAAATTTGCTGACACTGCAAAGGCAGATCAGGGAACAAGTTGAGGCAGATCCAAGGTGTCTGCAAATGGATATTGATGAATCAATGTACAAAGTAAAAGCAACTGGAGATGAATGTGGGAAAATGTCACTTGAGTAGGAACGGTACCAACTGGGAGAGACTGCAGAACACTTCAGCACAGAGAGATCAGGGTTTCCTAAAACATTTATTACAAAATATGAGCATGAAGGTATTGGGAGTCATCAAGAAGGGAAATGGGATGTTTACCTTAATTTGAAAGTTGAAGAAGTGTAAAAACATGGGTGTCTTGCTGGAGACTATTGATGAGCGTTGATGAGACAACACCGAGAATTACATAGAGTTTTGATCTCCTTACTTAAGGACTGATAGAATAGCATTGGATTCAATTCAAAGAATGTTCACCAGCCTGATTCCTGGGATGAAGAGATCCTATTATCAGGAAACCTTGAACAGATTGGCCACATACCCATTGGAATTTAGAAGAATGAGAGGGATGTTACTGAAATTGATGCGGTTCTGAGGGGGACTAAGAGGATTGTTTTCCCCTGGGGGACAATCCACAACAAGGGGGAACACTAATGAAAGGGGTGTCCCACTTAAGATGGAGGTGAAGGAGAACTTGCCCTCTCAGATAGTCCTTAGCCTTTGGAATTTGCCTGCCCGGACAGCAGTAGAGGCCGGGTCATTGACTATATTCAAGGCTGAGTTCGATTGCTTTTGGATCAAAAAAACGATGTCAAAGGCTACAGGTAGGAAAGTGGAGTTAAGGCCACAAACGGGTCAGCCATGATTGTGTTGAATGATGGAGAGGGATCAATGGGCCAATTGGCTGACCTCTCCTCATTAGTGGTTCCTTAAGCTGGTTTAGCACCAGCTTGGTCATCATCACTTTCAAGAGTTTTTTTAAAACATTCAAATATATCAATATGAAAACAGCTATTTTACTTTATTATTGGCAATTGAAGCATTGAACACAGTAGTACCTTGGATATTGTCCAAGCAAATTCTCACCAAGCATGCGATAATCAGGAATAATTTGTATATTTTTGTGTTACATCAGGAATTCAGATTATTTCACACAGTCTAAATATCCAGCAAATCTCACACTTAATTCCAAAGTATATGTCTTCTGATGATTAAAATATGAAAATAAAACATAATTTCTCCAATAAACTTTAAACAATCTTGCTAATGATTTCATAAGTTATGACAATTCTTCTTGGATATCCTTTTTTCAAGACAAAATTATTTTTACTACATAGAAAAGCTTCTCACGGATATTTGACATATTATAGTGTATACCATCAAAACCTGTTGAAATAAAACTCTGAAATTACTAAAACTCACTAAAACTAGTTTACAGACTGCTGGTAAAACACACTATACTAGTTGACTCACTGCAAAGAGCTAAGCAAACACTTAAATCTTGACCTTATAACAATTGTAATAATTCAAATGTATTGAAGAGACAGTGGCTGCATTAACCCTTATAGTCGCAGTTACAGGCCAGTGTAGTGTACTCTCGGGGAATCGGCAGATTTCTACAAGTCAAACAATGAAGCTGCAGGAATGTTAATGCACCAAGATCAGCACCCAACAATCTCCAATAAAAACAGAAATGCTGGAAACACTAGCATATCACAGCATACTTGAATGGTGAAACATCGTCAATTCCATCCTGTATGGCACATGACAGAACGCCAAAAGTCTTTTGAATATGAAATTTCTCCCATTTCCATCTTGGTCTTGTATGTGGTCTGCTGCTGACATCAATCTTGCTAATTCAGTTGTTTCCCTATTCAGATATTGGTATACTATATCCAAGTAAGCACAGCAAAACAAAATCTTCACATTCAACTTAAATAAAGATAGAGAACAAGAAGGATAGAGCACCGCAACTTTACATTCCTGCCTTCCAGCCATGTGCTTTATTACTCGCTTTGTAAAACACCTCAGCAAGGTTTGACAGAAAGGGATAGCTTTGTTTTTCAGTGGTTTGCACCATGAATGACATGTTTTCCATTATCCTGATCTCATTATGGAGAGCCATGAGGCCTGTCAGCTATCAATTTCAGAATCACACCAGTTTTGCTTTTTGGGTTTCAACAATACTGTTTGACCTGTAGAGACATTCATCCTGAAAGCAGAACACTGAGACAGTGAACAGGAAGAAGTCTGCCTTCCTGGATCAATATTGAGAACTACTTCTCACCATTTTTCCAACAATGTGGGTGCAGTGCATCATTAAGATGGAGGAATGATTCAGTTTCTCCTCTTTCTTCACCCACACTCCAGGCTGAGCAGTGATTAAAGCGAGATTAGAATCCATTGACAGTGATAAACAATTTAACAAAGGAAGACTGGCTTCAGAGGCAAACATGTAACAGGAAGAAGATATTCTATAGGTTTGCTCAGTGCATTCATGATGCAGTAATACACACATATCACATCTCGTTGCAAGGTTATGTTCGTGTCTCTTTATGAGCAGAAACTTTGGAAATTCTTTAGCTGTTTATAAAGTATTCCGGCCACAGAAAGTAATGGGACTGGAGAGGGGAAAGCCAGGATCATTCTATTCAAATTACTTAGAACCAGGAAACTCCTGCAGGTTTTCCTGAAGGCCATATCATCCTGCTGTTGAAGAAAGAAAATATAAATTTTCAAAGGAAGCAAACAACTGTGAGCATATTTCAGAGCCTACCACCTTCATTAACTTGACATTTCCATGAGCTTGAAATACTGACAAACCTTTATTCATAATGGCATTAAGCTACAAATTTCTGCCAATAAAGACAACAATTGGGTGGGAACAAATTGGGTTAACCTGCAAGAGAGAGGAATTTAGAATGATTGTTTATCCAGAGTTAAGTTTAATCTGAAATCCTGTCAGTGAGGGAAGAGGATAACACCTTCGGGCCATATCCTGTACACTGTGGCAGGTTTGTAACCATGTCAGAGGCTCGCTGGCAATTCTCACAAGTGCAGCGCTCTTCATGTTAACAGACCCTCCCTTTTGTCAAGGCAGGAGTAGATTCAGGAATGGGTCTTACAGATACCCAAGTACAAAAGTATAAATCCACTCAGTGCGGGCTCTCGTTTCACTTTGGAAGATTTTTATTTTTCAGCTTGCCCTCCTGGCCTTGAGTTTTTCACTTTGACTGAACCACATATCATTTGATTATTGCTTGGCTCAGAGGTGGAGTTTGTTGGGGGGGGAATGGCTTAAGGGGCCCTCTTGTGGCACAGTGGTAGTGTCACTACCCCAGGAGCGAGAGGCCCAGGTTGAAGTCACACCTGCAGAGGTGTGTAATACCAGGTTGATATCTCTAAATGTGTTGGTTAGAATGAAAAAAGCCGCTTGCTTCTGTTATTAAAATGCTCCATCTCCCGTGGTTTGTGATGCTGGAAACAACCTGAAACATTGACAGGCAGAATTCCCACCTGTTTGCAGTTCCAGCAACGGAGTGGAAATTCAGCAACATCAGATTCTTACCAGTTATCCATTCTCCGCGGATAAATACAGATCGGGAAACTAGTGGGATCTTCCTCAGCTCTGTTTCAGGAGAGACCCGTGGGACTTTTTACATCCATCTGAGAGGGAGGATAGGCCCTTGACTTAATGCTTCATCTGAAAGACAGTACCTCTGCCACTACAGCACTTTATCAGCTCCTCACTAAGGTGCCAGCCTCGACCAGGTGCTCAAGTTTCCAGAATGAAACTTGAAACTACAACCTTTTATTGTGGCCACAATTTCAAACTAAAAAAGCTTTAACATTGGCAACATTTCATTTGTCACATCATCGCGAAAATTCAAAATAGGTAGTAATAGTGGGCAAGGATGAACAGATTCAAGTCTGTTCCAGGAGGGGAGTAAAATTCAGCACCAGCTCCTGAGAAAATCTAAGACTCGGAAGAAAAATGCATGACATTAGCTTTCAAGAGTAAATGAACAATTTGGGAAATAAACCTAAAGATTAATGTTTCAGATTTTTTCAGTGTTTAGGTGTCAAAATCCTAATGGATTTTCTCCTCTACTTGCTGTGAATCCATAGCATTTAATTACTTGCATCCAGCCTGCAGTTTGCTATCGGTTAACAGCAAAGGATGTGAAGAATTATAGGCTGGTGTTGCAAGGTTTGCACGACGGATAATCATATTGGAACGTTCACAATGAAATTCTTAAGTTGTTGGCAAATCGAGACAGCAAGAGTTGGTTCAATATTTTCCTTTCTCCTTCTCATCCATGGTTTGTTAAGAGTTGTTTATTGCTTCGGGTTTGGTATTTCTTATGCTGCTTATTCTGTGAAAAAATTTAAATAGTCAAAGCATGCACTAAAAGAAAGTTAAAACGTGGTAAGTAGTCAATTAATCCAAACAGTTTGTATGAGCATATGTACATGTAGCCGACAAATGATTGGTCGTTCAGCAGAATTGTTATTTCTTTCAATGTGGAAATGTAAACCAGAATGGATTTGCAGCAGAGGAAAGTAACGGCTTGAGAGCAGATTTTCTTACCTGATTGGCTTGTAGCAGTAAACTGTAATCACAACGAAAATGATAAATGTGCCAACAATAATCATTGGAATAGACCGAGTCGATGAAGCATTAGGTGAGGCAACGTCATTGTGATGATCCTTTGAGAAAGAAAGTTCTAAATATTATCATATGAAAGCACCATTAGGGATCTAGCCACAGGACCAGCACATTTAAAGGTTGGTCATAAAAGTCCTGAAAGCTGTTAGAAATGTTCAAAAGGCATTTGCACCAATTCATACCTTAATTCAAGGCTGAAAGAGGAGAGGATGGAGAAACAACAGGCAAAAGGAAAATGAAAGGAAACATCAAATATGGACAAGACTAAAAGAAGCCCAGTGTCCTGTACAACATGCCTCACTGGTACAGAGGCCAGTTTCCAATACTGGCTGTACCAGCCTTCAACTGCATCATGGGTACAGGTGCCCATGTAAGTCCCCTCTGCATTTAGCTCACAGAAGACAGTTTCCCATGGCTGTGAGCAGGTGGAGATGTATGTGGATTGTCATCTTGCAGATTCTGTCAAACCAGTTTCTTTGACAGTTGGTTACCCTGACATGTTTTCTTTTCACACAGGGTCTGAGGCAATTCAGCTTCAAACGACTATTTTGAATGTTGCTTAAAATTCCAGCTCCCACCCAGCCCCCTTCCAATGTGCAGAAGAACCCAACATTGAAACACTCAGAGAAAGTGTCACAATCAAAATGGAACAACTGGACAATCCACAGACAAAATAGCAGAGTCTTAAAAACAGAATTTTTGAAGTCATTTTTCAGTAATTTCCTGTGATCTATTCTGTTAAAACCACAACAAATGCTGCCTAAGTTAAATACATTTCCTACACTGGAGAAAGAGACAGTCAAACCAAAATGCACTTGTAGCAATTGAAAACCAAACAGTGAAACACAGATTTCTGCAAAGGTGACAAACAACTCCAACAATCAGGTTTGCTGTATAATGGATTGCAAATGTCCACGTTTATCTGCATCAATGATCGTGACATGCTGCATTGTACGAAAAGTGATAGCGTACAGGGGCTGGTTACGTGCGAGAAAAATGATCACTGGGTGTCCAGATTTTGCTTTGGGATATTCTCTTGCCTGCTGCATCAGCAGACATTTTAACAAAAGGTTATTTTAGCAGAAACACAATATATTTATGGAAATGAGGGCCCTACCCTTTGAAAGACTTTACGACTTCCATTTCAGTTTTACCAGTATTGAATTTGTTCGTAGCAAATCACATCCAGAACCTGGGAATGATATCAGCATGACTTAAAGGGATCCCCAAGTTAGTTCAATC